TTGACTCAAATTGTTGCTCTCTCTCTCTCTCTCTCTCTCACGACCTGTTTCCATAGACCGGGCCGGCACTAGGGCCCAAGTAAGTTTAAAGCTTCCGAAGCCTAAACTATCAACTCATACATGCCACACGAAAATATTAGGAATAGTAAGCCCATAAAAATTTGCATATATATCTAATAATCATACAATCCTGGCCCAATTTTAAATATCTCGAGTAAAATTTAGTCCAGGCCTAATAATAATACATTCATTCGTAGTATGGGCTACTGGTTCATATGTATTTAAATAAAAAAATAAGAACATTCATAAGTTAGCACACCTGTTAAGACCAAATTAAAGATACGCAAATTCTACAACTGTGGAGTTCAACAATAGTTGGAAGTAATGGAGTTATACATATAACAATACACAAATTAACTAAATTCGGAAATTAGAAATTTACTTTTATAGCCCTGCAGAGAAGATTGCAGAGCTTTAGTCGGTCGACGGACTTCTACTTCCTTACAAGTTAAGTAAAAGAAGAGTGAGTTTCACAATTCAGTGAATAATAATAAATAATATATATCACAGGCATTCACGCAAAATGCATCCTAAGATACTAAAATGAGCACACAACCAGTCAATCGTATGGCACAACATCAACACTCATAAATAATTTCACCTTCAAATAATCAAGCAAGTGGAAATTAGTCAATGGCGCCACCGAAAACCCCCCGACGAGCCGTCCTCTCACATGGCCTACCCTCTCAAATGTGTGCACCAGGGAGTCAATCCCCCATAACTAGCTGACCGGTCTAATCCTCACTTGACCACTCCCATATTCACTTTTCATATACTCTCTTTTCCTTTTTCATATCATCAAGTGGCCACCCCGTGACTTTCCCATATCATATAACATCAGGTGCACATAGGGGCGACGATCTCCCCATACCTGGCCGACTATATCGCACAATGTCCTCACAAACTCGTAATGGCCCACTTCATCCCAATTCCACATAAACAAAGCATAGCAAATTCACAGCACAAGTAATCAATCAATTCATTCAATGTAATGTACCAAATCAATCTTAATGCGTAAACGTAAAAGTAAAGTTATATGTTAACGGTAACATAATATTTTTATGAGATACATATAATAATATACTAATAATATTATAATAATAACAAAATGAATATTAAAGTTTCATTTATATATATATATATATATGATGTTTATAAAATAAGTGCTACGCAAATGCAATAATGGTATGCACTACTTATTATTACTCATAGTGGTAGAGGAAAGATAAAGCTCTAACTCGGATTCTGACCAGAAGGAGTAAGAGGCGAGTCCGAGCTATTTAAAGAATTTTAAGAATACAAGAAAAGAAATACATCAGATAAAACACTAATTTACATAAATAATTAAGGAATTAATCTAGCAATCTATTTACAAATCTAACTGCTAAAACTAGGCTAGTTTCTACCGAAAATTCGACAGCATCTCTTCTAAAATTTGGACTATCCATCCGTTAAAATATCAACAATCCATCAAATTTTAACTTAATCTACAAAGTCCATCCATCAACTTAATTCATAGAGTCTATTCATCGGGCAATCAATCAAATCAATTTTCCCATCCTCCTTAACTTTAATATTAACATTCAATTCTTAAATTCCTCGTTTAATTCCATTAATATTATTATTATCAAAATTTCTCAATAAATTTATTTGATACTAATTTTAAATTAGCTTTAATTAATCAAAGTATTTTAATTAAATCAACACTTATATTATAGATCAATACTAAAAATTAAATTAAGTTAATTAGCCATAAAATGCTAGGGATTAATTAAATTTCTGGAAAATAACCAGAGTTAATTTATATACCCAATAGAATACAGCCGGAATCTGCTTGGCTATACGCGCCGGAGAGACAACCGGAGTTGGCTGGCGCACTGACTACTGCAGGAAAGGGACTATATCAACTGGCCTTTAACTAAATCTCGCCGGAAACGAAGAGCACCGAGTGGATAGTCGCTGAGTCAACCAAAACGGGCAGCTGTGCTCACCGGAGCTGCGAGCAGACGGCGCGACGTCAAGCGGCGACTGTGGCTGGGGTCCCGAGGAGCAGTGATCGAGGCAGAGATTGCCGGTGGTGTTGCCGCTCGCCCAAACAGAGACAGAGGAACGTGGACTGAGGAGTAGCCGCAGTCGACCGAGCGGAGGAGGAGAAACGACTGGCGGCGCGACTACAGGGACGATGGCGGCGGCGCGATGGCGTGGGTGGCGCGACGAGGGCTCGACGAGCCGTTCCTGGTGGCCGGAGTCGCGACTGAACCGGTCTGGGTGAGCGCGGCTCCGCTATGACCTTCGCTTGCCTGAAACGGGGACAGAAACAGAAAGAGAAAGATAGAGAGGGATGGAAAAAGATAGACAGCGGCGGCAGGGAGAGATGGCGCAGGTGGTCGCCGGCGGTCGGAAAATAATGCAGAACGGGGAAGGGGAGGAGTGACGTGAGCGCTGGAAATAGAGGGGAGGGTTTCTAGAAGGTGCTTGGGTGGGTTTGGGCTGATTTGGTTCGGTCTAAATCATGATTTTGTGTGTTTTCGATTTCCAATTGGTTTTCATTCGGGTTTCAATTAAAATGAGGTTGATTCAACTATTTAAATTTTATATATCTAAATCATGATTTTTGTCGATGTTTTCGATTTCCAATTTGGTTTTCATTCGGGTTTCAAAAATTAAAATGATGTTGATTCAACTATTTAAAATTATATACTATATATATATATATATATATATATATATAACTAGTGAATTAAATTTCGTAGCGGTTGATAATTTTATTTAAAAATATTAAATGAAAAATTTTTATTTAAATGAAAAATTTTAAAAATAAAAATTTGGGCTCTCTCTCTCTATATATATATATTTCTCTAGATTTTCTATTTTTAGAAAAAACTATTAAACAAGACTCTTAAATTAATTTCTTTATATGTATACTATATTTATTGGTTTACACTGATAAAGATAAATTTAAACTTTTGGAGTTTATTTCCTAATTAAGAGTTCTTTTTTATTTTTGTTAATTTATTAGTAAATACAATTTATAAATTATAATTTACTAATAAAATAATCCTTTCAAAAAAATAATAATAAAGCAATTTACATTGTGCCTGTACGTCCACTTAACTATATATTAAATGAACTTCCATTCTTTATTAATTAGTAATTTAGAATTTGAAACAAAATAGTTTCATTTAATGCAGATTGAAACTGTTTTTAATTATTGATACTAAACTCTATATATCTATATTATATATATATATATATATATATTATATATTATATATATATATATATATATTATATATATATAGTAATATATATATTATTTCTCTAGATTTTCTATTTTAGAAAAAAAAAACCTCTCTCTCTATATATATATATTTCTCTAGATTTTCTATTTTTAGAAAAAACTATTAAAAAAGACTCTTCAATTAATGTTTTTACTTTCAAAACTTTATATGTATACTATATTTATTGGTTTACACTTATATAGATAAATTTAAACTTTTGAAGTTTATTTCCTAATTAAGAGATCTTTTTCATTTTTGTTAATTTATTAGTAAATGCAATTTATAAATTATAATCTACTAATAAAATAATCCTTTCAAAAAAATAATAATAAAGTAATCTGCGCAATGCGCAGATATTCACCTAGCTATATATTAAATGAACTTCCGTTCCTTATTAATTACTAATTTAGAATTTGAGACAACAGTTTCATTTAATGGAATGACTGAACTTTTAATTATAAATATATAATGATTTTTGTATTTTATTAAATATAAAGATTATATAGCTTTTTCACTTAGAAAACTCGAAATTATTTGGCAATTTTATTAAATGACAAATTATTTGTTGTGCATTTCAACCTAATCTTTGATCAACAATAATTTAATATTTTTATTTTCACCCTCTAAAGAGAATTCCTGATTCCGTCACTGCATAAATCTATCTACACCGACAACTTACAAGTTATATATTAATCAATGTTATTAAATTTATATACTAATAATCATATTATTATTTGAATTTTTCCCATATTCGTTGATTTTATAATTATAACGAGACTACATGACATATAAATTCTTGTAAATTTAAAATATTTTTTACATTTGAAAATAAAATAAATTATATATTTCTCAAAACATAATTTCTTAAACTCGTGACATAATATACAATAAGGTATTGCTGGAGCCACTATAGCTAAATTCATTTCTAATGAAGATCCCTGAAAATAGATGATGAAAAAACTCAGATGAAAGCATTTTTCTCATTGTCTTTTGTGACATATCCTTATTTTAAGAGAGTTCCACAATCAATCTAATGCATTTGCCCTTTTTTTTTTTTTTTTCTTTTTTTAATGCATTTGCCCTTTTTTTTTTTTTTTTATACAATCAATGTGACAATACATTATTTTTTACAGAACGAGAGGGTGTAATCCCCTTCAAATAGTAGTGTAAAAGCTTTTGCTCTCACAATAAATGTGATTCTCGGAAATTAAATTTACATTCTCATCATTTTAGAAATTGAAATCGCTAATTACTGTCCCAACATTATTTTATCCATTCATAAATCACAAAATCCAAATATTGATGAACAAAAGGCCTTTACCGTCTTCAACATGTGTGTGAGAGAGAGAGAAGGCTTTGAGTGGAAAGCAAGCAAAACAAAAGGGCAAACAAAAACTAACACTTTGATTTTTGCCATCGTCAAGGCAAGCATATATGCCATAGCTGCAATAACCCAAAAAATTAAAAAAAAAAAAAAAAAAAAAAAAAAAAAAAAAAAAAAAAAAAAAAAAAAAAAACAGCACATGGAAAAAAAAAAAAAAAAAAAAAAAAAAAAAAAAAAGACAATGGAAAAAAAGGTTATGATTACATACAAACGGTGATCCTCTTCCCTATAAAATAAACCTTTTAACCCTTTAAAGCATTTCTTCTAATACACATCTCTAAGCAAACTCACTGTCTAACAAAGAATCAATCTTTATTGTCCAACCTAACCAGTAACCACCTGTCTCTTCATGCCTTAGCTTTCAACTGTTCTGTGCCTTTTGTCTTTCTCTCTATATATATAAGCCTTCTACTTAATGAGTATCATCTTTGAGGGGTCACCAAATCATAAATATTTCATTTGTTACTCATAAGCTTTGACGTTTTCTTTCAAAGCCATGGGAAGAAGCATACATTCTAACACCATTTGCTTTCAACTATTACTACTGCTCTATCTTACTGTTTTTGCTTCTCACTCTGGTAAGCTTTTCCTCTGTTATTGGTAACTTGTATTACACTTCATTTTGCTGGTATTTCTTTTTTTTCTAAATTTTTTTTATTTCAAAAGTCAAATAAATTAAAATTGTAGTTCAATATAGTATAAATTTGCCAATCAAATTGACAATTTTAGTGCATTGTCTTATCATCCTGCAATTAGTTTTAAAATAATATTATTTTTTGAAAATGGTTTTCTTAACATATTATTTTATTTACTACATTATTGTAGAAATCTGTAATGGGGAAGTAGCAACTGATCATGTGGAGGGTTCCTTCGAGTTTAAGTATAGCTTTCTATATTATTATTATTATATATATATATATCATACCCAAGTCAGAGGGTTCCTTCGAGTTTAAGATACTCGTGCATTTCACGATTATTGTCACTCAAAAGTATCGCTGCGGGGCCTCCATCCAGGAGTTTACCTTTCATGGCTTCGCCATTTATTATTATTATATAGTATACTCTACAGGTACATAGTTATATATATTTTACATTTCATCCTCCATTTCTCCGTAATTATTTCTCACCCTCAATGGAATCTTCCCCTTCCCTTTTTTTGTTTCCACTGGAATATCCCACCGTTAATATATATATATATATATATATATACATCTCATTTTCTCTATATTCTCACCCTGCAATGGAATCTTCCCCTTTCCCTTTTTTGCCACTGAATATCCACCGTTACTATATTTTGTATGGGAAGAATAAATAAAATAGGGTCATTAATGGCATTACCAAATTATTCAACCATCTTCGTATAATTAGGAAAATATATGTCTAGATTAAATCTGTAGCTCCGCATATAAACTAAACCAATAAAAATAAAAATTTTTAATTTTTTTTCTCATTTTATCATTCTTTTTGGTATATAATAAAAAATGCTCTTGTTTCAATGAAAATTTTATTTTTATTGGTTTGATATATGGGTGGAGCCATAAATGCGCTCCGTGCACACATGTGTTGCACTTTGCTTGTACGTTTGTCCCTACAAGTTCAAACATCGGGACAAAGCACTTTGAGCAAATCCTAATGGAAGTGATGTTGACACTTTTGTATTAAACTTTGTGCAGAAGCAAGAAAATCAATGGAGCTTCTTAAAGGTTCAATTATACAACACATAAAGAAGTTGACAGTGACAAAGCACTTTGATTTGGCTTCATTACTTCTCCAGAAAGAAACTATGAACCCTTATGTTAGTTCTCCATTCTCTCTGCCACCTTATGATTCTTTATCCCCAATGCCACTTCCTGAAAATGCCCCTCCTTATTGCATTTATCCCCCTAATACCCCTCAATCCCCTTCCACTACAATTCCAACCCCATCTGGCTCATTGCCTTTCACACCCCCAACATCACCCTATTCCTATCTACCTCCTGTTCTCCCCCTCCTAAGCCCACCTCCAAGCCCAATCCCAAATCCACCTCAGATTGTTCCTAGCCCACCAACTCTGGTTCCAGGCCCACCAGAAACAGTACCAAGTCCATTTGTTTACATTCCAAGCCCACCGGGGCCCATTTTAGGCCCACCTTATTTTGAGCCAAGTCCACCGACTTTTGTTCCGTCTCCTACTGGGTATGTTCCAAGCCCATCAATTTTTCTACCACCGATAGTGTATCCACCGCCGACTGCACCGCCACCTCCAACTACTAGCGCACCGCAGGCTCTATGGTGTGTGGCTAAGCCCTCAGTGCCTGATCCAATCATTCAAGAAGCTATGAACTATGCTTGTGGATCTGGGGCTGACTGTGACTCCATTCTGCCCAGTGGGTCTTGCTTTGAGCCCAATACATTGTTTGCACATGCTTCCTATGCTTTTAATAGCTACTGGCAGAGGACAAAAGTGGCTGGTGGCACTTGCTCCTTTGGAGGAACTGCCATGCTTGTTACTGTGGATCCAAGTGAGTTTCTTAAATCCCATTTTTTTGAGCTTAATTTTTTGTTTATTGATAAGGAGGGCAATCGGCTGAAATAATATTGCATTGCGTGCTACACAACGGGGGTAATTTTTTTTTTTTTTTTTTTTTTTTTTTTTTTTTTTTTTTTTGCTGACAGGTTATGATGGTTGCCATTTTTTATACTTGTGATGAGAAGAAGACATTATTCAGCCTTTTGAAGAATAGACACAAGAGGAACTAGTCTAGATCTTCTTTCCTTTTTCATTTTTTCTTCCTTGAGGATATAATAAGAGAGATAGATCTAATTTTAAGTTGCAAAACATAAGGTCAATGAAAGATAGAATTTTTGCAAGTAAATATCTGTAGATTTTGCAAAGGATTTTGAATATTAATCCTTTTTCTTTTGTATGAATGGAATGGAAGATCCCACCCTTCTTTAAATGTATAATCAAAATTTATTATATCATAAATGGGATAGTTTACCATCCTTTCAATTAACAGGAGGAAATATTTGCATTCTACCCATTTATATTTATTTATACATTACATTTAATTATTTTATAGCATAAATTATATTATTACACTTAACATCAAAATAAATTTATGTTTTTATTTATTTATTTTACAGGTTCCATTCCTTACTCATTCTTTAAGATTGTTGTTCTTTTTTGATGGTTTTCATACGACAAGCCCTTTAATGTTGATGTTAATGTTAATGTTAATGTTAATGGCGCCACATTCATTTTCAGTTCACCTCTTATTTTTTTTCCCCTGTGAACTCGAAAAGAAAATTTTCTTCAATAGACTATTCAAACGCCATGAATTTGTACTTTTATATATAAAAAACAAAATCAGACATGCAAATATAAATCTAGAAATGTAACAAAGTAAACAAAAATCAAATAAAAATGAAAAGGTTGCTGTCTCACAAAGAAATATTTAGGATTACTGAAAAAACATAAGGTTGAAACAATTTGGGTTGAATCGGGGAAGAGCTCCAAAAGAAGAAGTTCAAGAAATCAATTTGTTTCATTTGGACTATAAATTTATAGTCTTCACAGCATACTGTGTTGAGAGAGATTTACAACCACTAATCATCCAACAAATACTAAATAGATGATGTTTAGATATATCCGTTATTAATTATAAATAGTTTTAAAAAAATTTAACCCAATCAAAATGGTAGAAGAACGAAAAATAAATTTCTACAACTTCTTAAAAAAAGAAAAATGGAAAGCTGAATAAAAAAATAGCGTTAAACATTCTCTTTGTTCCAGCTTTCGTGTGTGTGTATATATGTATAATAAATTGATATGATATTTTATTATTTTTAATTTAATTGTCTCTTAATTTAAAGATATTCACTATCAAAATTATAAACTTTCTTTTCAAATAATTAATGGCTATATAATAAATTTATTACATTAATCCTCCTAATTTGTAGAATTTTTAATCTAAAATAATAAAATTTTTTTATTTTTTAATAATTAACAATCTAAAATTAAAACTATTCATTTTTAAATAAAATATTTTTTCTTTCAACTTAATATTTTATAAATCACATGTTTATTAATAACCCATAATATATTTATTGAATTATTGATGAAACTCTTTAATTTCTTAAACCCAATAATAAATTTATTAAATTGGTAATAAAGCTCTTTAATTTCTTTTTTCTAAAAATTAATAAGCCCGTAATAACTTTATTATGCTGTTCAATCTGATTTCATCTATTTGGACAATGCTTCATTGTTGAATCATTAGTTGTAATAGCTCTACATTACAATCTCGTACAATATATCCCTTTAAAATCTTTATCTTAAGTTTTTTTAATTCGTATTTCATTATTATATCCCTTTAAAATCTTCAAAATTTTTTGGCAACTATTTCATTGAGATACAAAAGTTTCTAACATGGGGGATGACTCACTTACCAAATAAGAAGTGGAAAATCTTTAGAATTTATTTTATTTTATTTATTTTTTTGATATATCTTAATAATAGGAGATAAGATATTATAGAAGTAAATATCAATAGTGGATTTGATCCATTTAACACTAATTGATTTTTGAATCTCTTTTTCCTTTGTCTTCCATCACTTTCATCAACCTCTCCCTGTCTTAAACTCAATAAGAAAAGGTGTTATGTTGACAGCTGTTTTATGGATCCAATTGGTAAGTACCCTTTACTTTAATGGATCTCTCTTTTCTTCCTTCAAAAATATGGACCTCTCTTTTCATCAAACTCACCCCGACCAACCATACTCATATTATTTATAATAATATTAAAAGCCTAAAATTTTTTTGATTTTCTGTCAATTCTAAAATAATATTAAAAGAAGAGAGAAAAATGAATAAAAAAGAAATTTAATAATTTAAAAAATAAAATAGTGCATTCTAGTTTTTTTGATAAAAAAGTTCAAATAAATAAATTAAAATTATAAAATTATTAATTTAAACATTTAATTAAAATGTTCTCCATTCATATAATGAAATAAAAAAAAACCCTATAATTACTCGTTGAAAATGCACGCAATATTTTCGTATGTTGGAATGACGCGGGGGACACAGCCACTTTGGAGGGCATCTGTACCTGAATCTGGACCCACCTCAACCGTGATCTCATTCTTCCTAATCAGAATCGAAGATGGATGGTTTTGGTTGGCTGTAATAGAACCGACTCGAATACTTTTACAAACATCGATTAAAATCAGACGTAATCAACCAACTAACTATTAGTTGATCGAGACGCTGGATCCTTTGAGCACTGTTTAGAATTTAAGTATTTTTGTTTAAATGTAAAAAACTGAACATCTAATAATATTTAGTAAATTTGACTCAACTATGGCCGATTTATATTTATATCTCGTTCAGACATCATTAACCTGGCAAAAGAATTAGCAATAACATTATTTTTTTTAAATTATTATTTTATTTATAGATATTTAAAAATAGTAATTTTTATTAAATATTATTTAAAGAAATATAATACATTAAAATAAAAAATATATTTAGAGCATCTCCAACGCTAATTTAAATTTCTCTTATTTAGTTGATACATCAGAAAAATAAAAAGATCTTTTAAAACATACCCTCCAATGCTAAAATTTATTAAATATTCGAGAGATATTTTTAAAATTTAATGTTTATAGATAGACATTCAATCTCAACACTATTGACTAACAATACATGTGCTTTCAATTTTAATATTCTTTAAAAAATATACATCATAAATTAATATATATATATATATATGAATTTAATACTTGTTATCAAAATATTATTATACATCAACATTTATCGACTAATCATTATTAGTTATAAATTAAAATTCAGGAGATTATATTTTTAACTCTCAAAATATAAATTATTTTGAATATTTCAAGAATAAATAATATTTATTCAATATTACTCTTGTACATTAGATATAATAATTACCTTAACAAAATAATCTTTAATTTTAAAATAAAAATTAATTTGATTAAATTATCCAAAATTTTACTAATTTAAGATAATTAATTTATTTGGCACCGAGGGAGTATTTATTTACTATGCAGAAGGCGGTAACACCCGAAACCAAACATAACTGCTGTCCAACCTGTTTTTGGCCTTTTCCCTTCCCTCCACATTTTTGATTCATTGTCTGTTTCTTATAGAACCCTAGCGTCCCACCTATCTCCCTCCTAAAACTAAACAACACACTTATCTCTCTCTCTCTCTCGGCGGCGTCACCATAACCGCCACCGTCACCCTCCTTCACCAAAAATGACCATAGAATTCGAAGACGGTTTCGCAGCGGAGAAGCTCTTTAACCAGGGCTATTCATATACCTATGACGATGTCATCTTTCTTCCTCACTACATCGACTTCCCAACCGACGCCGTTTCTCTATCTACTAAACTTTCACGGAATATTTCTCTCTCCACTCCTTGTGTGTCTTCTCCCATGGACACTGTAACCGAGTCCTACATGGCTACAGCTATGGCTGCCTTAGGTGGCATGGGGATTATTCATTCTAATACGACTCCTCCTGAACAAGCTGATGCTGTCAGATCTGTTAAGTCACGTCGCGTTCCTATTTTATCTAATCCAGTTTTCAAGTCCCCTGATTCTCTCATTGTTGATCAGTTCGATGATGATTCTCTGCCTTGTGTTATAGTTACCGAGTCAGGTACTGTATTAGTCTAATGTTTTTAAAATTTTGAATTCGTTCTAGTTTCTACTGTTTCTATGCAAGTAAAACAACATTTTTTTTTTTTTGTTAGAAAAACTCTTATGCTTTATAAGCTTCTCGTATAGGAATTGTTTTGAACACCATGTAAATTAATAATAAATTCAATTTTTTGCTTATTCTTACTACGTAAATAAATGGAATTGAATTGAATCAGGTACTGCTACTTCTAAGGTGCTGGGCTATGTTTTTAAGTCGGATTGGATGTCTCTCAGTGATAAAGAAGCAAAATTGGTTGACTACATGCATACTGTTGATTCAAAAATCTCTGTGCCGTGGAATTATGACTTGGCACAGATTGATGCTTACTTAAAACAACAAGATCATGATTTTGTTCTGTTGGAGAAGGAGGGAGAGGTAGTGGATGTGATTACCAAGCAAGAGGTAGAGAGGGTAAAGGGCTATCCTAAGTTAGGAAAAGGGACTGTGGGGTCTGATGGGAAATGGATGGTGGGGGCAGCTATTGGGACGAGGCAATCTGACAGGGAGAGATTAGAGCATTTGGTCAAAGCAGGGGTAGATGTGGTCGTGTTGGATAGCTCACAAGGGAACTCCATTTATCAGATTGAAATGATAAAGCATATTAAGCAAACGTATCCAGAATTGGACGTGATTGGTGGGAATGTGGTGACTATGTATCAGACGCAGAATCTGATCGAGGCAGGTGCAGATGGGTTGAGAGTTGGAATGGGGTCTGGGTCTATTTGCACCACCCAGGAGGTTTGCGCAGTTGGGCGAGGACAGGTAAAGCACGTGTCAGTTTTGCTTGTCATAATCACCCTTTTGCTTTATTATAATTTTGCTTATGAATTTTGTTGGACTCCAAAGCGGCGATATTTTCATTCAAGAGTACCTGCGTTTTCACATACAAGATAGTTTGGCCTTTTGATATCCCTCTGCCATATATGAATTCAATTGCTCACACCTTGCCTTTTTTTAGTCTACCCTTGATGTTGAATTTATATCATCACTGGTAAGAAGATGTTTATTACTACACTTGCTGAAAGAATTGCATTCTATAGAGAACTTTTTCTGAAATCTTCAGGTTTTATGTACATTGGAAACAAAATATTTAGCTTCTTAGTGTGTAACAAAACGAAAAATATATTGCCCATTGAAATGGCAACAAAACAAGGATGAACTATCATATGGACTAATTGAGATAATTTGACCACAGTGTAGTTACTATTTACCCATACTTATTTTGGCGGTCTCTAAACTTTCAGGCAACTGCTGTTTATAAGGTTTCATCTATAGCTGCACGAAGTGGTGTTCCTGTCATTGCAGATGGTGGCATTTCAAACTCTGGGCATATTGTTAAGGCTTTGACACTGGGGGCATCTACTGTTATGATGGGAAGCTTTTTAGCTGTTTTTTTTTTTTTTTTTTTTTTTTTTTTTTTTTTGTTGTTGTTAAATGATTCTAATTTATTTGATTTTTTTATTGTCCTCCTTCTGATCCCTTCATGTTTCTTCCTTGAATTGAAAAGGGATTCCTACGACAATTCAATGCTCTGCCTAGATGACACTTTATTGTCTGCCTAGATGACACTTCAATGCTACCTATCATTACAATTTGTATAATTTGTAATTGTTAATGTTTTGACGTTGGAGAAGTCACAAATCTTCAAAACCATTCTCTTAGGGAAATCCAAGTAAAACATAAATCCTCTTAAATATATATTTTTTTTTCAATGAATTTGCTATGAATTAGAAATGTATAATCTGTGAGGCTTCTTTTTCTTGTCAGTTACATAATCCTTAGCAGCCATAAAAATGCAAGTCATTGTTGTTAGCATGTGTACTGAAGGAAATTGCATCCTTGAAATGGCCTTAAGATTTAGTTCGGTTCCAGGATTATATGTGGCTACCCTTATGTTATTAAGATGCTTGCTGTGTCATGGTTTTTACTCAAACCATCTATAAAACCATGCTGGTTGTTATTCTAAGATGTTCTCCACTGAACTTCTATGTATGGGGACATTTGTTTCGGGATAGTTATTCGTAATGGGGATCTTTTTTATCATGATGAATAATAGCACATGCAATATACCAAGTTTGTTTGGCCTTCAAGGTGTTTTTTTTTTTATATCAATTCATCTGAGAGAATCAAGAACATGAAACAGAAGTTCTGTATGTGCAGATGGAACATTGCTATTCATGAAGTCACTTATAATTGCATGAGCGATAATTTATTTTTCCTTTAAATATGGAGAATAATGGGCTTATTTTTTCTTTTGTTCTGGGGGAGATGCCTATGTTTATTTCAGTTGACATAATGTATTTGAAACATGAGGCTGGCACTTTTCCAGCTCTTATGCATACTCAAATACAATCTTTATTTATAATTGTTTCTCTATGAAGTGGTTATGCTTCTGTTATTGAAGATGCTGCTTTAGTTATGCATTTGTTTGTTCTTTTCTTTTGATAATGAAGATATACAATTGCTTCATAGTTGCAGTTCCTGTTCAGTAATTGGAGTGTGTTCGGGATATTAAACCTGAGCCAGTCTAGTAATAGATGTGAATTTATATGCACCGAAATGGATTGCCGGAAATATGTGCTTATGAGTTTGCATGCACTGAAATGAATTGCCCCAAAATATGTGCTTATGAGTTTGCATGCAGTGAATGAATTGCCCCAAAATATGCGCATTAATCTATTTTATGGTTTACAGCCAGACACCTGCCACTGTGCCAACATCATTTTACATGGATTTATAACGAATGATCCCTTTTTTGCTAGATATATCATTTGTTATTAAATGCAGTCCCTTTATGTGATTCTAACAAGTCTTTGCTATACTAGAATGGTTATCGGATTAAAAAGTATCGTGGCATGGGTTCTCTAGAAGCAATGACTAAAGGGAGTGATCAAAGATACTTGGGCGATACAGCTAAGCTAAAGATTGCACAAGGAGTTGTGGGAGCTGTTGCTGATAAAGGCTCTGTTTTGAGGTTTATACCTTACACCATGCAAGCAGTCAAGCAAGGGTTCCAGGATCTTGGTGCTTCTTCTCTGCAGTCTGCTCATGATTTGTTGAGATCAAAGACTCTGAGGCTTGAGGTATGGCTTAACTTCTGATGTTCCACTGTTATCTGTGGTTATCAGGATGACCTTTCGCTTTTACCTGCACAATATCCTGTGAAATATGTCACCTTGTACTTGGAGCATATCTTTTCCTATTAGTATGGATGTGGTATGTGGGTAGATATTTATTTTTCAGCCCATTAGTCCAAGTTAGTTCAAATAAATAAATGATTTGATTGAACATAACCCAAGTATCAACCTGTAGGAGATCAGATCAATGCTATGTGTCAACACAATAATTCTAATGTTTTTCTCACAATATATATCAGAAAAGATACATGAGATAGATAGTGCCAAAATCCACTTCCACTGATGGCAGTTACTGCACTGAAGACGGGACTTGAACTCATTTTTAACCAAGGCTTGCTTATGTTTTGTTTGCAATTGTTTAATAAACAAATTTGTAATATTTATCTATTTTGTTCATTTGGCTTGGTACAGGTTCGAACAGGTGCTGCGCAAGTTGAAGGAGGAGTACATGGGTTGATTTCTTACGAGAAGAAAGCCTTTTAAATTTGAGATCCTCTGGCATTTCTTCCTATTGTTAAATGACTGGTCTCTTATTTGAAAAAGACCAGGAATGATATTTGAGTCAACTGCATTAACATCTAAGGATGGAGTCTGCCATGGCATTTTGTCATCATAAAATTGAGATCGATTTTTCCAGGACCAGAAGCAGAAATCCCATTTTTCATCTGCTTTTCTTTATGGGCACAAAAGCACTCATCATCTCTGCGGATTTTGTGATTTAATTGGAAGAGTAATTTATGAATTAGTATAGCAAAATTTTCTTTTTTGAACAACTGAGGAATAATTTTATCATTCTTATGAAATAAAATGATTGGATTTGTGGAACCATGTATTCTTCTTGTGACACTGAATGCATTATCATTCTCTATTCTATTCTATTCAAAACTTCCATCTTTCTTTTGTTCTTTTAGCTGTTCTGTTTGATGTTTTTTCATGCAATTTCATTTTAATTGATTAATGTTTCTTATTGGGCTGCACAAAAATTATTGAGAAACTTAGCGCTTTGAGGTTCCCTGAGTCAGATGGTCGCCTTCAACATTGGACGCTTAATGATCCCAAGAGAGGAAGTGGAAATGTTGGGTGAAGATCTATCAACTTGTTAATGAATATCATGTCCAAGTAGCCAAATGTATTTATGAAGCTGAAAGAGCATGACTCTTGTACTAAATTGGACTTCAAAGGCCTAAAGTAATAGCCTGATTGCGAGCTGGATGAAAATTAGCTAAAAGAAACCTAAGGGATGATAATGTACAATTATAAAACTCAACCTTACCTTTGCTTTCAAGGATTGCTTTGCTTGGAACTATGACCAGATGCTAAGGTTAGATCTGTCACTTGTTGAACATTTACTCCCTATTAGACAGTGTTATAGGCCGTATAAATAGTCCACTCACAGGATGATCAAGAATGTTGAAGAGCTAGTTTCAGCGACTCCTTAACGCAAGATTCCAAGGACTGCTTAACATGTAAAGCGGCTCTTTACAGGCATCAGCCGGTTCAGTGAACCGCTAGCTTTTATATTTTTAAAATTTTGAACCTATCTTTGAATCTCAGTTTCAGTCTAATTCCGATAGACTGACAGCTTGAAGTACGGTTCCAATACGTTTTGGTATAAGCAAATTTTTTTAAAAAATTAGTAAAATTTTGATTCCCGAATTTATAAATAAGTAACAATTTTAAAATGTCTAAATTTTATTAACTAACTAAATTATTAGAAAATTTTTTTAAAAAATTCCATTAACTTTTACAATTAAAAAAATTACAACTATTATTATATTAAATTTACAAATTTTGCTAATTCACTAATATAAAAAATTATAATTTTTTTATTTTGGGCTTGAATTAAATTAAAATCTTTTAATTGTCTACCTATCCTCTTAGAGATTAAAGGAAATCAAAGCCCACATTGTTTTTTTTTATTATTATTTAATGGAAAATAACCTCCCAATTATTATAATTAATTTTAGTCATTAATATCACTAGTCGCCGTTAATGAGACGGAATAATCATCGTGACTTAGAATTCTGGTACCTCGACTGCTATTAGAAATCGGCTGGGGTAAATGCACTGCATCTCTATCTAAATTCACCCTAAAATGATATGTTCAAATTTGAGTATACTTACTGAAATGATGTATAAGAGAAGTTATGTAATTAATGGACTAAGTTGAATAATTATAAGCAATGTCATGCGTAATTAAGAAATGATGAAAATGTAAAGCTTTTAAGAAGTAAATTGAATTATTAAATAAATATAATTTTTGGGGCCCAGTGAACTTAGAAGGAATCAATAACTTGATAAAGATGCGGTATGCCATGTTTTATCTTGCAGTATTGCTCACTGGATTTGTGATTTGATGTCGATGATGAGTTTGGGTTGATTGGAAATATTGAAAATTGAGAGATTTTGTATTAGTTGATAGTTGGGGTAATATATAGAAGTGTTTCTTGCTTTTGTAGGTTTTACTTAAGTTCAATTTTTAAACTATTTGCAGTTTTTTTATCTGAATTTTCTAAATATTTTCTAAGTAATTATGAGCTTGCTAGCATAGAATGATTTGAAGCATATATGATTTTAGGATGTTTAGCTCTAGGGTTCTGCTACTGATACTGTTAAGTAATAGGTTTTCAAAACTAAGAAACAGTCTGATGGGCCTGTTGATTGATGCAAGGCCCACCTTATTGTGAAAGGCTATCACCAATGCCCAGGTATAGATTTTGCAGACACCTTTAGCCCTGTGGTTAAGCCCACTACTATACATCTTTTGCTTTCTATTGCAGTCTCACACAATTGGTTTGTATGTCTTTCTTCATGGAAAGCTTGCGAGGCTGTACATATGTCCAACCACCTGGTTTTGTTGATCCTCAAAAATCCAATTATGTTTGTGACCATTTATGGCTTGAAACAGACGCCACATATGTGAATCAAATATCTCACTAATGCTTTTTGTTTGATTTACGTAGATGATATTTTAGTAACGGGATTAGACTCTTCTTCAGTGCAATCTGTTATTCAGTTCCTACAAGGTTAATTTGGGTATTGAACCTACATGGCAGCTGGATAGACTGCTCTTATCCCATCACAAGTATACTCAGGATCTTCTTCAGGTAACACACATGGAAATTAGCAGTCATATTTCTGCTCTTGCCAATATCTTACCTTCACTCATCCCGATATTGCTTATGATGCCAATAAAGTCTCACAGTTCATACATGCCCTAACCCAAGAACATTGGACCGCAGTCAAACGTATTTTGCATTATCTGCGCACTACTCCACACCATGGTTTATTTATTTCGGCTTCATCAAACTCTTTTAACTTCATGGTTACTCTAATTTTGTCCGCTGATGACCGCAAATCCACAGCGGGCTATATTGTCTTATATGGTTCTAACTTGGTTTCATGAACCTCTTCTATGGTTCTAACTTGGCTTCATGGACCTTTCGCAGTCCTCCAATAAAGTGAAGTATAGAGCTTTGGCAGGTGTTGCTGTCCTCCAGTAAAGCATAGTATAGAGCTTTGGCAGCAGGTACGTTTAAACTTATGCGGGTTGAGCTCCGCTTGCATGAAATTGGATTCCCCTCATCTTCCCCACCAATATTATGGTGTAACAATCTTTTAGCCATATATCTCACAGAAAATCTTGCCTTTTACTCGCGAACCAAGCATATGGAGATATCGATTCTTATGATCAGATTACAGATGTGTTAACCAAGCTTTGATTGAGAACCGATTTCAAGATCTTCGTGCCAAAGCAACGGTGTCTGACGTCCCCCAACATCTTGAGAGTGAGCATAAAGGAAATCCTACTAAATAGGAAGTCTTCTTTATTTAGGAATACTAAGGTGTTCTATTAGAAATGTAATTGTATCACTAACTGTATATGGCTATAACTATAAGTGTACAAGTACTCAGTTATGAATCAATAATAATGTGTAGCAGAGACTCTCTTACTTCCTACTTATAGTACGCTCCGACCACTTTACCGGCTTTGGTATGATCACCCATGCTAAATAATGTGCAGTATTGCAATGTGCATTTTCCCTACCATGAATTCCCGCTGTAACAGATGAGTAAAAGTAATTAATAGCTCAAACCAATACATGCACGAAGATTCTCTTCAGGTTTTAACATGGACTTGAGAAATTCTGTAGCATTTACTTAGTTTTCTTGAAAAGAGATGGGATCAAAAACTAGTCCATTTGCGGCTTTGGTCATCTCATTTGAAGTGAACCCATCATCCTTCATGTAAAACAAATGCAACACTTTGATCATTTTCCAAAACAAATCCTTGCATGGTCTTGGGATACCGCTGTTCTTTTCCTGCAAAACAAGTCTCAACAGTCGTTTCCTCTGACTGATAATTAAACTCTTTATCTCTGTGATTGCTTCTTCTTCAGTTACAACATCACTTCCATGAATCATGTGCAATGAGACAGCATTCAGTTTTCCTTCTTTGGATTCTCTCTGCAATATAATAATAAATTATCAATCAACTACTTTATACAATTGGCAATTTCACTTTACTTCCGATGAAAGGAACTACCCACATGAAAGCCTCTCCAATCATTTAGTAGACGCCCACATGTACTCATAGTCTTAAACAGATCGTAAAACTCGGGGTTTCTAACATCCTCCTCTGAGAGTTTAGGCCCAACAAAATACAAAGCTGGAAGAACAATTGGTCCTAAAGCAAATGATACATATCCATTAGCCATATATTCGTCAACTGTAGGTACCAACTTCCTTCTAGACCACAGGGTTTCTTTCAACATTGCCTTCAGCAAATCCAACCACTGCAATGCAAACGTTGATCAGATAATGCAGTTCATAAAATGATGATGGTATAAACACCCATGCATGGATCAGATAATTAAATTTATAAACCTGAAAGAGAAGTTACAGTAATACCAGAAATATAAAAGCTAGTCAATACTGTTGCCAAACCTTCTGGCTACACAGATAATTTTGCATGGAGACTCCAATAAGTCATCAATAGATAGAAACAGTATATAATATGAAGAAAAGGATCTTATCTCACAATTTCGATAACATGACTTGTCACTTTACGTCCTTGCCATCTGAATGCTTTTTCCCCAATCTCACAAATGGTGCTGTGAAGTGCTGAAAATATGATGTTGACTTGCTCAGAACAAAAGTGAGTGCTCCCATCCACATCCCACCTGCATTTCATTTTCTATGAACCATGTTTGAATACATAACAATTATCTAGAGGACTAAGGAAGCAAAGAAAGAAAAGGGTGTACTTTTCGACCAATTGGATAAGGTTTACACATTCCTCTTCAGAACCTCCAACATCAAAGAAGTCATCAATAACAGTCGTAAGCACGCCATTTTTTGCCCATGATATGCGGGCATCAGATAGTTCTGGGGTAAAAAGAGAAGCTGCAGTCGAGAAGTAACAATAACCCAGTTTCTGCCTTGCAAACTTTAGCTTGTCCAGTCTTTTCTCCAAAACCCACCTGTCACACATGTCAAGTTATCCTTACAGAAGTTAAAACTACAAATTAGTGAATTTCACATTCTGACCATAACAATGGATCTCAGAATTATTATGAAATAAAGGTCAAGTTGCAGATAATAGTAATGAGTGCAAGGGAAGGCTGCAGGTGCATCTTGAAAAGAAGAAATACAATATAAAAAGAGCAAACTTTCAGTTCAGCTGGCCAACTTTTTATTTAATTTCATTTTCTATTTTATCTCATTAAATGCCAAAAATTGACCTTGCTGTCATGACTTTCAAACCGCTGCACGTCCAAATATGTAAAACATTTACCTTCCAAGATGCTCAAGTTCTTCGCGATGCATTGATTGGCAAATGTTGAAGTCTTCTACAGCTAGCTTAAGAAAATGTTCATTCCCAATGTTGGAACAACTAGAATATGAGAACAGATATGTAAGAAACTCGTGCACATTTTTACCTTAAAAATGAATTTCTCGAAAACTATATCTGATAAATATAAAAATTTTAAAAAAACAAAACAATGAAAGAATACCGGTATGCGGATTTTAAAATCCTGGTTTTATCTACATTATAATGCTCAATGTTCCTCCTGTTAGCTAAGCGATCCAAATCAGCATACTGTGGAAAATTGATAGCATCATGAACCTGAAATGATGAAAGGTAGTGAAAATGGCACTCCAAATAGAGCGGTCTGAGGGATGTGACTACTACCAACCAAGTCAGAACAAACTACCTCTGCAGTAATATGTTTACTAAGTCCATCAGTATAAGTTGAACTACTTGATATTTCCTGTTTCAGGAAATGGCATGTCCATGAATCTAGTTCTTCCAGAATTGATTCATCTGGATAAATTAACTGTGAAGCTTTGTATAACTCTAAGGCAGCCCTTGTGTCCTTTAAATATCCTTCAAGTGAATTACAGAAGTATTCCTCAGTGAATTGAATCAATATATCTGCATCATTTGTTAACTGGATTAGATCTTTAGAGATTAAAAAAAAGACACTTTCTGAAAGATCCAAACAACCACTTTTCTGTTTCAACTGGATACCTGAAGACACATCATATCCATTGATACGCAATATTCGGAATGCCATTGCACAGGTTGTGCAATCTAGAAATATCTCTTCATTCCCTTGCACCCAGTATCTGTTTGTTTGATAATTCATGGTTTTCAGTACTAAACAGAACCAAAAATTACAAAAAAGTTCATAAGGCACTTCTTTAAGTTCGACCACATTTCATAATTTCAAGAACATGCCATGACCAATCCTTAATGGTGCTGTATCATCTAATGAATTTAGTGAAGGTGAAAGAATTAGTTCTCTTATATAAATGCCGAACACAGATTTTATTGATAGAACGTAGAGATAGATATAATATAATTATATAATTTAGAATTGGTCACAGCCTCTTCCCTGAAAATTGAAAGAAATGGCCAAACATCCCAGGTATAGTGGCCTAAATAATACCTGTTGGATCCAATAAATACAGCTATCTAAAAACTTAATTTCACATGCCACATATCACATAATGCTAGTTGCATTGCAAAGTGAATATGGAATACCTGTATGTTTCATCCAATACAGTTTTTATTTCCTCCTTGAAATGCCGATCAATTCCCAACCTTTCAAGAGTATCAACCATATAGAGACGAGCATATATATCCAAAGGATAAATGGTTGGAACTGACAAGATCAATGGAAAGTCAGTAATGAAAAATTAAAAAGAAATCATAAACATGGCCATAATTAGAGTTATGCAGATGGACCTGCATTTCCAAACTTCTCTAAGACTAAGTGCAGGTAATGAAGACAACCAGCATCCTGAAGGTGATTAAAAGCAGCAGCGGTGGTGGATGGTGAATTGAACAGTGACCCATTCTTTCTTTGATATTTCATGACCATTTTCCAATCTTGTAATTCTCCAATTCCTTCTGAAATATAAGCTAAATAGACTTTCCTTCCCTCTGGGTCGCTATTACAGCCACTAGACAAGGACCAAATGAAAATAAGACCTCTTACAAGTGCTTTAAAAATGAATATCGATTTGCAGAAGCTACAATTCTTCACATAGTTCCATATCCAAATTTTAAATGCACAACTTTTTGGATTTCAAGAAATGAAACTTGTTCAGCCAATCACAAAGACTCACTAAATTACTCTACGAAACAAGTGATCAGTTTGGCAAGGTTGGATTAGCTTGAGCAACCTCATATTTTATGATAACAGGAATAGACCCTAAAATTTTCTTGCATATTGTTTTGGAAACAAACTTACTCAACATATATGTTAAACCGAGCTTAAACATCAATATATGTATACCTTCTAAGCTCTAATTCTCTCCTGTAAAGCATTGCATCTATATATTCTGATTTCAAAGGAAGGTTCAGCGCCAAATCTTTAGCATGCTCAAGCATACCAGGAAATATTATATCAAATCCCACTGGTGTATGCTGCTTTTCATCGGTTAATGAAGCAGAATTCAACTCAACAAATTGAAGGCCTACAACAAAAGAAAGAACATTTGTTCAGTTCACATTTATGGTAAAATTGTGAATTAAAATAATATTAGTACCTTTATTGATTTGTATTTCACCAATACCCCATTTCTTCAATGCAAGTATGCATGCTAATGTAGATGAGATAGCATCCTTAGCTAACAATGGATCACGACAAGGCAGACCCCAAGAGCCATCACTGAGTTGATTATCAACTATCCACTTAGTGCACTGAGGGAAAAAAGGAGCTTTTGGGCAGTTTGGAGATGGGACCATTGCTACCCAAGCAGTGTCATATGAAGAAACCGAAACTTCAATCTTATCAAACATCTTCTTAATTCTTTCTTTAGCGCCATCAAACCACTAAATGAATCAAAAGTAGGAAGCCTTTATAAAAATGTTGGACTTTTCTTTCCCTAATATAATAATACATAAAGAACAATATCAATAAGTGGTAGGATCAAATCAGATACCTGAATTGCTGGAGTGACTTCTTTGACTAATTCCACGCGAAGGTCTCAAAAAAAAAAAAAAAAAAAAAGGCCAATAAAGATTATTCACCATGTTGAAAAAGCAATACCAATACCAATTTGAAAAATCAGAATTAGAAATCACCATGTTGTTATCTATGTTGACAAGCAAACTGAGCTATTTACAAAAATGGACTTAACTAGATCTTATTCACTGTTGCATTACCAACTCAAAACAATTGAACAACTACAAAAATAAATAAAATAAATAAGTCTCAGAAAAGGTAAAGTGCACAGGAAAACCTGAAATCATCTTATTCTTGCAACTTGCAAGAATCCATCACATACCAACAAAACCATTCTATAAAAGAAACTTTTTTTTTTTTCCTTTTATTGGTTAAATAGGATACATGCATGCATCCCCATATGGGTAGACACAAAATACACTTCTTGACAAAACTATGACAGTTTACACAAAGGTGTATTAACCAACTGGGCATTCTCTCCTGGTTCTTATGGAATAGATATGATATACAATCCCCAAGAAAAGTACAGCATATATTAATCCTCAGATCAAAACAAACAAGACAGCGAAATCTTTAAAAGACAGTAAAGAAAACCCATTTTGAATTTCATAAATATAAAAATAACACAAAACAAAAACTCGAAAGAAAGTGGAGGGAGAGAGAGAGAGACCTGGAATGGAGGAAGAAGTGGAGAAATTGGAGCTGAAAGACATGGCAGTGCCAAGAATATAAGAATCATGCGAAGGAAAATGTCTGAATGGCGGAATTAACAGAGGAACAACATTTATTTATGCAGAGAAAGAGACTAGACTAGTGGGCCCTTTTTGAGGAATCAAAGGGTTTGCAGATATGCTTACATAAACTGGCGCTCAACAACAAAACAGGAATGGCCATTGCTTTTAGCTTTTCATATGACGTTTTCTGTTCACGCTTATATGGAAACTCAACCTTCTCGTTGTGGCACTTCCATTTAAATCTTTTTTATTTTATTTTCGAAAAATAAGTTATCCTTGAAAAATCTTTTCCAACAAAAATATTTTGCTCACAACATATTTTCTCGATAACTTATTTTAAATTGTTTGAATGTAACATTCAAAATTAATCAAAAATATTAAAATCTTAAATTTATAGAGCTATAAAAATGTTAAAAACTATAGAGATTTCATATTTTGGAAATTTGTGGTCAAATATCAGAAGAAGTGTATGAAAAATAAATAATAACTTATGATATTGTAAAACGGTGGTGACTGAGGGTACTGCCAGTGATTAATTTGTGATCGCCATATGACTACTGTGATTAATTTAGCGTTGATTAGTAGTCTGACAGTAGCTACCTTGATGAATAAATAAATAAATACATATTATAATAAAGTTGGTTTTTACGGAAAAATGGTTTTCCCTTTAAAAATTGAAAGTTATTTTTTATTAAATGGCTTAAATTTTTCTTTGACTAAAAAATATTTTTAATTTATGAATTTTCTATAGCATTCCAAACATGGAAAGATTGGAAATAATTTTTAGGCAAATTACATTTAAAACAAATGTAGGTTTATTATATAATTTATTGAAATTGAGTTTTTGAATCCATTTATCATAATTGAAAATTTCAACTACAGTATAAATTACCTTTTTTTTTCTCTTTTTCCTTTTTTAGAAAGCATTATTCGTTTTTAATATGATAGGCAAAATGCTTTTGGCGTTTCTAGTTGCAGTTGTACACTCCACTCCTTTTCTTTTACTTTTATTCTTTATCTTAGTAACTGAAGATACGTATTAGATTTGTTCTACCAAGTTTGTTTTTGTTTGTTTGTCTCAAATCTGGTAATTCCTTTAACACTTGATTCCAAAACCAAAATTATATTTATATGTATTAATAAGAAATTTTTTTGTATTAAAAGATGGTTGCCAAATGATTAAAAATTTGTACACGGTATCGTTTGACAGTGGAAGATGAATGACTAGGTTTGTATAAGGTGGACATGGAATCACCATCCTCGTTTGGTCAGCAGCAGTCAAGATTTATGACATCACTCAAGGTTTATAATTATAGGAATAATTTTATCTTTTTATCTAGTAAATTATACAACTTGTTGCATTAACTCTAAAAAGAAACTTTTTCTTTTTCACAAAATTTGACTTATAAATTGAGATTAACAATTGTGAATTTATTAGTTCAACTTTGATAAACAAAATTATTTATTATTATTTGAATGCATAAATTGGAGGTTGAATAAACTATTATTAACCTGAAATAAACAGATTCTAAATGTTTTGGTGCTAAAATGATTGTTGTATTGCTAATTAACATGAATAAGGATATGGGTTTTTGATAAAAATAATACTCTCCAAAAAATTATTTCCCAATATAATGTTAAATCAAAACTATTTATCAATCTAATATTTGTCCTACCACGGAGAGAGAGTATGTTGCACTGAAACCACCAATTGAGCTGGTGGTTTCAGTGCAATAGAAAAAGTAACACATACTGGCAATCAGTCAGTAAAATGTAATTATATGAATAAACAATAACTTTAATTTTGTATTGAGACCACCATTTCAACTGGTGGTTTCAATACAAAATACAAATTTTAAGTTAATTTGTCTTTTCTCAAAAACATTCAATTCGTTTGATGGCTTTAGTGCAACTATGGGATATGATTATTAATCAACAAAAAATACACGCGAGAATGGTATTTGGTTAAGAGTTCACCAGGTTAACTAATGGTTTCAATAAACAAAATATTTGTTTGCTCAAAATATTTCTTCACCAAAATACACGTATCATCTTGTGGTTTTGGTTCATAAATATTTCAAGTTAAGTAATAACAATATAAGTGGGTTTTGGCATATTACATCTTCTCTGATGCCTTGATATTCTTCTCCATGCTTAATATTTATATCAACACTCATGCGAGGAGCTTGAACCATATTCACAGATGGTTGTTATGAGTTAGAAAATGTCAAATAAGTCTGTTGATCGGGTGTCATCATCGTCTCAAAGAAATCATTGAATGAGTATCTAGCATGAGATGTAGATTTATCACGTGTGCTGAAAGATGCCGCAGAAGTATTAGAAGCAAGTACTGTATATTGAAATAGCGTTGCCTTGCCTATTTCAGAGAAAGAAGTATGGGTTTTTTGGGTTGCTATTAGAGGTGTAAATGAGTTGAGTTGAGCTCAAACCTGCCATGCTTGAAGTTCAGCTCGATAGAATTTAGTTTGACTTGAAACTCAACGAGCCTAAAAATATAGGCTTGGGTTCAGCTCAATAAAAGCTCAAGTTTGGCTCGACTTCGACTTTAGGCTTGAGTTCAACTTAAAAAATTTTAAGCTTGAGCTTAGCTTGATGCTCGAGTAACCTAAAATAATATTATATATATGTATGTATAAAAGCTCGATAAGGCTCGACGAGTTTTCGATCTGAACATCATTAGGCTCGAGTTCAGCTCAATTACTAAACAAGCATGAGCTCAAGCTCGATTCGATTCGAACCTTTTTGAACTTTTTTCGAGCTGAGTTCGAATAATTTACGAGCTAGCTCGGCTCATTTACACCCCTAGTTGGCATCATCAAAGTGTAATGACTATTCGATGGTTTTTCTAATGCTGCAGATGGTACACTCCACTCAGGTTTTGATGCAGAAGATGATGTGTCAGGCATGTTAGTGCAATAACCTTCATAATAGCTATATATCATAGGGAGAGATACTAGAGGTATATTGTCTACTGGAGGGGTTTCAACTAGAATACGTCTATATATCATTTCACGGCTCCTTCGCCTCTGTAGTTCTTTTGGTGTTTGAACACGAGTTTCGGTACGAATTTCTTCATTCATTGTGCCGAATAGATGAAAATATGATTAATTTTTCATGTATTAGTTATTAAGGCATATTTAATATAATACAAGTTCAACTCTGAAGCATTTTATTATTCTTGGTAATTTGTAACTGTGTAAGGAAACTTATGTTATTATAACTTAACTTGAAATATTCATGAACCAAAACCACTAGATGATATCTGAGTTTTGGTGAAAAAATATTCTACATAAATATTTTTTTATTGAAACCATTAGTTAACTTTGTGGACTCTTAACAAAACACTATTCTCGCATGTACTTTTTGCTGACTAATGGTCAGATCCCATAGTTGCACTAAAACTACCAAACCAATTGTGTGTTTTAGTGAAAAGGCGAATTAGCAGCTTAAAATTTTCATTTTATATTGAAACCAACAGTTGAATTGGTGGTCTCAATACAAAATAAAAATAATTATTTATTCATATTATTACTTTTACTGACTACCTGTCAGTAGATATTACTTTTTCTATTGCGTTAAAACCACCAACTCAAACTCTTAACAAAACACTATTCTCACATGTATTTTTTGCTGATTAGTGGTTACATCCCATAGTTGTACTAAAACTACCAAAAGAATGTGTGTTTAGTGAAAAGGCAAATTGACAACTTAAAATTTTCATTTTATATTGAAACCACCAGTTGAATTGGTGGTCTCAATACAAAATAAAAATTATTATTTATTCATATAATTACTTTTTATTGACTGTAAGTCAGTATAGATTGCTTTTTTATTGCGTTAAAACCACTGACAGTGCTTTCGCAAGTGTACAAAATCACTATAAGTAATATATGATAAGTAGAGTATCGTTTCCACGAGGATTGTATACCAAGTATCAAAATTGTGTTATTCTATTATTATTTAAACGATAAATGAGGGAATTGATTCAAGAACTTAAATTCAATAAGTAAAATAAACAAAGGTCACGCAAGCAAAATTTGTTTAAAGAAATCAAGGAGTAAAAACTACTAGGGAATTTGATTTCACTTAATTCTATCCAATTTATTTTATTAGTCCATTAATCAATTTTAATTGTTCAAGTAGGGGAAACAGCTATAGAATCACTAACAAGCTCTCCCGATGAGGGGAAATCAGCTTATAAGAATCACTTAACAAAGGCCTCTCCCGATGTATTGTTAGCGTATTTTAATTCCCGTTTAACTATCTA